CTTGTGACTTGACTTGGACTTGAATATAATGACTTGTGATTTGACTTGGACTTGAAAAAATTACTTGCTGCTACCTCTGGCTGTACTGAGGCTTGCTGAACTGATTCCAGTTTCGGCAAAAGTTATAAAAAGGCATTAGAGTATGGTTAAATTTAAATGGTTTTCCTTTTCAAATGCGGGCAGTTTTGTCTGGCAATCATTAAGGGGATATGAAAAATAGCTTTGTATAAGATGTGCTTATTTCCAAAGTTAAGATTGTTAATTGCATTTTTTAGGCATGACTGAGGAGGAAATTAATCAACTGGAGTGGAAAGAGATTGAACAAGAGGAAGAGGAACTGAGGAAGAAGACACCTAAAAACATCCTGGAAGACTTGGACAACCGTCTGGATGCAGTAAGATCAAGTGTAGTCATTATCAGAGCCATGAAATTACTGTTCTAGTAGTGCATAAATTGTTACTGTGTATGATCAGAACATCTATAGTATTTAGCTTTGTATTTTGTGTTCTTTCTTCAAAATCAGTGGGTGATAGCCGCACCTCAGCTTTGCTCTCTAGCTCAGCTTTGTAATGTTAGGCATTGACTTTGAAGACTGTGCCTCGGAAGAAGTTGATTACATGCCTGAGAAACTTGGACTTCATACACCCTGTATTTGTTAAAGGAATTTGAGTTGGGAAGATGTAAATTTTAGCGGTTTTGTCCCAGTTAGATCATCTTTGAAGGCACAGATTATATTTTTTTATACTCAACAAGAGTCTGCATTTCCTTCTTATTTCCCTTTGATGCTTTTAGGAGAGGGATGCCCTCTTGGCTGGTTTAAGAGATGCCAATGACTGTCTGCGTAGTGAGAAAGAACGACAGCTAGAGTTGGTGCGTCTGAGGAGAGAGCAACGTAAAGCTCGCAAGGAGGAGAAGTTTGATGCAGCTGCCCTTGCCATGGGATTGGCCAAACAAGCTCAGGATGCTGAAGACCAGTGAGTCTTTCTTAACATATTCAAACTGTGTCCTAGTGTAAGTTTTTCAAAATTCTTAATTTACTGCTGATCTCTTGTTCACCAAGCTTTAGTTCACTAGTTGAATTGAAAAAATTGATTCTATGGCTTTTCTTTCATTAACACACTGGGTATCTTCTTTTACAATCAAAGCAACATTTCCATAATGCACACAGTGTAGAGGGAAATTGGTAACATTCCTGGCTTGTGCTGTCTGTGGAATTTTTTTACCCATTAAACAGTCAAGTTTGGTAATTGTGCTCTGTACAGGAAGTGTTCAGAAGTGTTTAAAAAAGGTTGTTTGTGTTAAATTAAACTTTCTTTTGTAAAAGTCTGTTTACCACACAGAGACATTAATAAACATGCTAGTGTATTTATCACTTTTTAAGACGAGAGAAGGAAAGACAGAGACAGATGCAGCTTGCTAAGGAACGGTTGGCTCAGTGTCGTAAAACTAAGGAAGACAGAAGACGAGCCAAGGAAACCACAGGACCCATTCCCATGCCTGAGGATGAACAGAGTGAGGTCATGATGCAAGAAGCTGTCATACAAGAAATGGAAGTCAAACATGAACAAGAGAGAGATGTGCTTATTGAGGTAGGACAGAGGTGATGTTGAACCCCCCTCCACCAAAAAAGAAGATAGATCTCCATACATAGCTTATATTTATGGAACATTTTCTGAAACTTTGGAAAAGTGTTCTCAGTTTAATTAATCAGGTTCTTCTTTTTTTTTTAATGTTTTACTGCCACCCTTCAATAGCTTTGAAAGTATCTGCACTTGAACATGTCTTTATAGCAAGAAATTATGAATATACATGTACAAATAAACTGACAGTCTCACTTTGTCAGCTTAGAGCAACAGTAACTGTTTCGCCTTCCATTTCTGCTGGTATCTTTTGGCATGCAAGATCAAAATGAGATCAAAATTAGATTCTGAAAAGGTTTTTGAAGACTTTTTTAGTTAAACACATTCCATATTTCCTTTTAGTTAATGCAAGATCAGGAAAAAAGCAGCTTGAGAACAAACGCCCGACAGATGACCGAGGACAATCGACAAAAGAAGCTGAAGGAGCTGCAAGGAGCACGTCAGGAATGGCGTGACAGTCGACCATCAAAGGAAAATGAAGAGGAACAAATAGACATATTTAGTGTAAGCAATGATAGGAGTAATGACGTAGGTTTAGAGATGATTTATGATGGATTTGTATATTTGTATAAGTATGTCATTTCCAATAAACAAATGTCAGGTTTTGCTTCCTCAGTGTTAAATAGTTTAACCTGATGGACTACATGTTATATTTGTGTAATAAACTGATCTGGGTGTGGTAGCGTACATGTATATCAATATTTTCAGTAGAAAACTGAAGCGTGACATCATTTTGACCAGGAAGTGTAGTGCAGACACACAAAATTGTTGGACATATTCACTTCAGTACTCTGTGTATTGAAAAATAGAAAATAGACATGCTTAAAATTCAAGATATCATATCAGCCAAGATTGTGACCCACAGTAGTCTCAGAAGTTGGAAATATACTGAAAAACTAAAATGTTTAAATTAGAGAATTACAGATCCTAAAATACTGTATATTGGTTTGTGTTCACATAGAAAAATGCTCTACATTGTATATTTATTCCTGTTTGGCACAAGTTGATCAAAAGTCATCTTGATGACAAACTTAGTTGTGATATCTTTTTATGATTTAAACAGAAAGCCACAGCCCTTACTATGGAAAGCCTTCTAGATGAAGCCAGGCAGACACAGGGAGATGGTATTACTGATAATGAGATTCAGATTGCCTTGTTGGCTGATCTACAGCAACAACAGGAACAGGAAGCTAGACGTCTGATGGAAGACCTGGGTTCAAAGGTCAGCTCATGCCTGTCATGGTTTGACTCTGATTTATGTATTTTTGAGGTCACTTTGCACTACTACCTTACAATACGTAACAGTAGATTAAGAAATGATAAGAGTCATGGAATGTATTTGCAGAAATCCTCAAATATTTCCTCTCTGTTTATGTAGAGTTTAATTCTTACTAGAAGCCACGCATTAGTGTGTCATGTATGCTGATGAAAAATCATACACAGAAACAACTCTCTTCCAACAGTGCTGGTACCCTCTATTTATGGTCAGCAAAGTAAGAAAACCCAATCCTTACTACTTGAGTATAAGAAATATTGGGTGCATGTTTCTAACAGAGAAAATTGAGTTTCCCAATAATTTTTACATATATGTCTGGTTTGTCTCAGAAATTCACAAAGCCCATCTTTTTGTATCCTTCATCAAACATCGATGATTCCACATTTTAGTATTGAACAGTTATGTTTTACAATGACAGTATTAACAGATATTTTTCATCCTCTTTCAACATGTGGCTTTTGCACAACAGACCTTAACTACTCTCAAGCAGTTGAAGCAGGTGCAGTACATTGCCCGAGCCAACGGCTGGAATGATAACGTTGCAGGTACAGTGCTAGTCACCAAGTCAGATTCCTCTGAGGTCACTGAGGAGCAGCTTCTCAAGGCACTAGAAGTCAAGTATGACACACTCAGAGACAAGCTACTCAGTGAGGTAAGGGCAAAATTGCCAGAAATCAAGATGTTGGTAAGAATTTAGTATCACTGCATCAGCAAAGCACAGTTTTTCTGTTGCTATTTCTTTTGACTTTCTGTAGGCACTTATGAAACAGATGGGGGAAGTAGAATGGGCTCGTCTGTCAGAGAGAGAACGTCAGGGTAAACTAATGAAGCTGAAGTTACAAGAGAGGAAGATGAGACAGGAAGGCAAATATGATGAAGCTGCTGCCTTGCTTGGACAAGGACTCAAAGACCAACAAGGTAGGAGCCTGCCAGTTTGGGTACACATATGTTCATGCCCCTCACACTGTGCAAGCATACTGAATCCCACTACACCCAGAAGCCAGTAAAATTGCTCTTGACTCGGGTAGGTGGACTCCAAAAGTAATCGATCAACATCAAGCTCAGATATATTTGTTTGCCCCTCATTTCCATAATGATTAGTATGTAAACACTCAAAGTCCCTTTTGCTGCACACGATAAAAATCCATTTTCTGCCAAATTTTTGCCCGTCTTTCTGATGTACCTTCAAAGTAACAGAGTCAGAAGTTGGAAGTGAAGGCAACAATTTAGAGGGGATTTTTCCAGTTTTGCTGAGTTTTCCCAGAAATTTCTGTACTTGTAAATAGTGAGGAATATCATGGATGCAAGTATCATGCAAGAAGGAAACTGTATGAATGAGAACGAAAAGTTTTTGTTTGTGCCTTTTATTCGGGCAATTCGACGTCATTTTATGTATTAGTGGAGTGCAGTAAAAGTCAACTCATACCCAAATTCACTTTTATGCAGGTATATGTGCGTGTATGTGTATGCCATGCCCAAAATCTGGCCGTCTCATGTTTGACTGCTGCTGGACTCGGTGCGGAAATTTGAATCCGCACGAAAAACACACCGCAATTTCAGACAAATGGCTTTTGATCTTGAAAAAATGAACTGATGGATACAAAACATTCATCAATCTTCCAGACAGTATCATTAATGATCTGAGAGGAATTCGATAAACGTGGTGAAAATTGGGTACTGAGTAAGGTGAAAGGTACTAAGTAAGGTGAATTTTGAATAAGGGTTTTCTGCCTAGAAGTAATAAACTTTTTTGTTCATAAGAGTTAGTAGTTGTTCATGTGGTATCCAAGTGTCTTGAAGGTAAACCTGGCAAAATTGTGAAAATGAGACACAAAGTTAGGTAAAAAATGATAAGTTTTTTATAATTATCCATTGTCGTAAAATTGACATTTTCCCCTTGGATTATTTTCCTGAGATCTTTCTTACTAGAAGCTATTAAATATCTCCATTTGATAGATTCTTGGCAATTTATTCACACACGAGGTCTTCAAGGAAAATGGCAGTACAAATCCCGCAAATTTGTCACCAACAATTTGCATCATCTGCTGGAATAATTTTTCAGGCTGATCACCGTATGTGACTATTGCACATGCGCGAATACACAAACTAACTGCATGCACAGTCTATGGGGACCAAACATACATGTACGTGGGTACCATAACACACCTGTTGCCCTCAGTAGTAACCCGTGCACATCTTGCTGTTGCTCTTAATGACTCAAAGATTTGCAAGATAGGAGCCTGCCAGTATGGGTACTATAGCACACCTGTTGCCCTCAGTGGTAACCCGTGCACTCTAAGCAGTTGCACTGAATGACTCAGAAGCCAGCAAGGTACATTAGGAACCTGCCAGTATGGATAACTATGGCATACACCTACATGTAGTTCTCAGTGGTAACCCAAGCACACCTAGCTTTTGTTCTGAATGACTCAAAGACCAGCAGGGACATAAATACCAGGAGGGGGGAGTTTTTCAATTAACTGTTCAATTCCCAACATTCAGTTCATATTTCTGTGTCAAATGTAAATCAGCTTGCAACCAATCTCAAGTAATAACAACACATGCACATTGTCAGTGGCTCCTTAGCAAATGCTTTGGTTCATTTAGATATGAGTATTCTTAGCATCTTCATAAATTTGTGTCAAGGTAATTTTAACAGTATTCTTTAAACTCTTTCATCTGTGTTATCTTCCAATGTAGAGTTGACCAAGCTGCTGGGCAACACAAAGGCTGAGCAGGGGGAGAGATTGAAGCAACGTCTTGAACGACGTCGCCAGCTAATTGAAAAGAGAGCTAAAGAAGGTCTTGCAGTAGATGATGAGACACTGGATGCAATAATTGACAAGGAGGAAAAAAGACGAGACTTAATGGAAGACAGGAAAAAGAGGCGGGTGTGTACAAATAGCTATCAGTGATGGTTATGAGCCTATTTGTTAAGGCAGCTAATCTTGTGCCAAACTACAACAGTAAAACCAAAACTACCATAGACAAAACTTGCCCAAATCCATTCTTAGGTCACACTTTTTATTTAAAAATCACTGGCTTCGATATTTACTTCAAAGTTTATACAGCTATTGAAGAAAGGACACTAAGGTGTTATTATACTTCTAAACAAGGCTGAACTGATCACTTTTCTGTCTCAGTTAATTAATCATATATCCCTAAATCCCAACTTTAAAAATCAATAACATCATCCCACTATGCGCAATTACAGTAAAACATTGCTTTCAAGTAGAAAATTCTGCTTTTAGGATCTACAAATGCTGCCACCTGCTCTCTCTGCATTATTTTCCATGAACATGTCACATTATGAAACATATCCTTTGATTTCTGTGTTTTTTCACAGAACATTCTCGAAGAGCTGAACTCCCATTTTGAGGATGAGAGGGATCAGCTTCTTGCAGCCTTGCGTAACCAGGATGCTTCCTTAAAGACTGAGAGGGAACGTCAGTTAGCTCTGGCCAAGCTGCGTCGTGACCAACGCAAGCTTCAACTGGAGGATAAGTTTGATACAGCAGCTCTCATCTTTGGCATGGCCCAGCAACAAGAGCAGGCTAGGGAATCTAAGTGAGTTGAGAGTGTAGATATAAGTGATCAACTCTCTTCGGGAGCTATAGATGACTTAGCAACAATAGCATGCTGGGG